GACGTCTCTTCTGAGACTAGATTTCCTCAACTGTTAAGTGAATGAGTAGAATTAAATGTCATTGACCATCCCATGATTATCAAGGGATACTTATTGTAGAAAATTAAGTACTAGAGGCTGGGCGCAGTAGCTCATGGCTGTAATCCCAGCACTTTGGGAGGCCAGGACAGGAGGATTGCTTGAGCCCAGGAGTTCGAGGTTGCAGTGAGCTATGATTGCACCACTGCATTCCAGCCTGGATGACAGAACAAGACTCTGTCTCTTAAAAAAAAAAAGAAGAAAGAGAGACAGAGAAAGAAAGAATATTGAGTACTAGAGGAGTTCAGGAGTAGAGATACATTAATATAACTGAGTTAGTAGATAGCATGGGTGTGATTAAATTTAAGCTGAATGGTTGTAAAGCCCTAATGAAATAACTCATATGAAAGGTTCTGAAAGTAATAGGTTATTGTATAAATGCAACTGATGTCTTACCAAACAAAATAGGGCAGGGTTCTTTGGGTGAGGGAAGGAGGACTGTTCTAGTATGTGGATGGTGTGATTATTACAGTATAGTAAAGAACATCTCAGAAATTTAGCCGCCCTAATAGTGTAACTTAAAACTTTTAAATTGATACTACTTTCAGTTCCTTTCCTGAGTGGGGATAATGGTGGGTCTGATCTCTTCTCTTTTGTTCTTACAGCTCTATTATCAAGTCCTAAATTTTGGAATGATTGTCTCTTCGGCACTAATGATCTGGAAGGGATTAATGGTAATAACTGGAAGTGAAAGTCCAATTGTAGTGGTGCTCAGGTAACAATTAATTTTTTTTTTCAAGGCATAGAATTGCATGGAATTACTTGAGAGAAAAAGTGAGGTATTGAATAACTGGTATATCAGTTCCTTAAAACTACTCTTTTTTAGAGGATTGCCTGGAATAAAATTAGTTACTACTTCTCAAATGTGAGGATTTCTCACCTTGTGAAAATCGGCACTCCCATTCAGAATCCCAAAGGGCCAATGACCTTTTTATAAAAAGTTTACTACGTGAGCTTTATTTTTGGCACATCCCTTTAGAAAGTGTTTCCTTGTACTTCATTTTCCTGAAATTCTTCTTATACTGCTCACTTTGATACATCAGTCCTGATATTTAGTTGTTAGTTCATTAGATTTTATAGTACATCATCAAATTAAGAATTTTTTGGTTGCGTATTCTCAGCGTCAGTACAGAAGCATCACTAATTATTTCCATGTTTCCTGACCTTTAAATATCACTTCTAACCTAGACTGCAGGAGTTTTGAAGGTATAATACCATCTCTTAAGGTGACAAATAATACTGAATTTTTTTCCCACTCTGCTTCCTTCTCTTTGTACTCACACTCATAGTGATTTTAAAAACGAATTTAATAACTCATTTTAGGAGAATTACCACTTGGTTATTTAATCGAATCATTACAGTTCTGTCTTATTTTGGGGTTAATTTTGTAGGCCGTCTCAAATCCTTTTTGGAGATAATGGAGTACAAATATAAAATGAATCAAATTATTAACATTATCTAGAGTCTAAATAATAGTACATTACTCTTTTTTTAAGCACTTTATTTAGGTATGATTGACATATACAGAAAGCTGTACATATTTAATGTATACAATTTGATGAGTTTGGAGATAAGTGTATACCCCTGACACCATCACCACAATCAGTGCTATCAATATATTCATTACCTTCAAAAATTTCCTTTCTCCCTCTTATTTTTGTAAAAAGAACACTTAACATTACTCTTTAATAACATGAATTTGACTCTTTCATTGTCATATTCTGATATACTTCCAGCTCCAGTGAGTGTTGGGAAGCACTTGTTGCTTGCTTATATAATACTTTACTGATATTCTTACTAGTACCTTAATTCTGTCTTTATTAATAATCAAATGCATTAGCCCGGTGTGGTGGTGCATGCCTGTAGTCCCAGCTACTCAGGAGACTGAGGCAGGAGGCTCGCTTGAGCCCAGGAGTTTGAGGTTGCGGTGAGCTATGATAACACTACTGCACTCTACCCAGGGTAGAGCAAGACTCTGTCTCAAAAAAAAAAAGAAGAAAGAAATCAAATGCACCTGTAATTTTAGAGATCCAAGGAAACGTATGGGTATGGGCTGGGCGCAGTGGCTCATGCCTATAATCCCAACACGATGGAAAGCTAAGGCGAGAGGATTGCTTGAAGCTAGGAGTTCGAGACCAGCCTGGTCAACATAGCAAGATCCTGTCTCTACAAAAAATTAAAAAATTAGCTTAGCAAGGTGGTGCATACCTGTGGTCCCAGCTGCTCTTGGGAGGCTGACACAGAAGGATTGCTTGAACCCAGGAATTCAAGGTTACAGTGAGCTATGATTGTGCCACTGCCCTCCAGCCTGGGTGGCAGAGCAAGACCCTGTCCCTGTCTCTTAAAAGGAAAAAAAAAAGAAATGTATGGATTTTATTAGCTGGGAGAGCATTTGAAGTACTGCGCTGGGAGTATAGAGACTTGTGTCTCAAGCTCTTTCATCGTCTAGCTACAACCTTGGGCAAGTCAAGTGTTCACTGAAGCATAGTTTCCTCATCTGTAAAATGAAGGCTAGACCTAAATGATGTCAGAGAACCTTTCCAGTTCTAAAATTATGTGAGCCTTAGTTCCCAGTTTTGAATTCAGTTTGTGAAGTGTTTAAACACTAACAGAAGGAGAAGCCACACTCATTGGCACTCTGGGGAAAAGGTACAGAGAGGACGATTAGGGAGCCTTCTGGAGATCTTCTGGGATTATTTTAGATTTAGGTCATATTAGAGGAGAATCTGGTCAAAACTAGAAGGAGCTTTCATTAGAGAAAGGTAATTTATGTGATTGGGTGGCCAGGTAGCTTTTACCTGGCCAGGGTTTTATATAACTTCAAGGAATATATTTTTACCTGGAATATGCCTCAGAAGGCTTAGGCAAACTAAGAATCTGCTTTCAGGACTTTTATGAAACCTTGGGGATAAAGACAAACACTTTCATATTATTTATTTTCACATTCATTATTTTATACATTTCAGAAACATTTGAAACTGATTTTTTGTCTGGGCATGGTGTTTCATGTCTGTAAACTTCACACTTTGGGAGGTTGAAGTGGGAGGATCGCTTGAGACCAGGAGTTTGAGGCCAGCCTGGACCATAAAGCAAGAGCCCACCTCTACAAAAAATAAAAGAAAATGAGCCTGGTGTGGTGGCCTGCCTGTAGTCTTAGCTGAAGCGGGAACATCGCTAGAGCCCATGAGTTCGAGCTGACAGTAAGGTATTATTGCGCCACTGCACTCCAGCCTGAGTGATAGAGTGAGACCCCATCACTAAAAAAACCCGAAACAACAATGACCAGAAAAAGCCCTGATTTTTTTTTTTTCCCTTTATGGAGCTGAAGTCAGTTAAAAAAATATTAAAATATTTTCTGTACAACTTATAAAATTTATCATGTTTGATGTATTAAATTTAAAAGTATAGTCTGATAATAGTTAAGTTCACTAATAATTTATTTTTATTAATTACGTTCCAGAGAGAGTGGAACAGGTCAGTCTCCAGGAGTGGAGAAAGTCCCATTTTTATTTCTTTTGGGAGACAGAGTTTGATCTGTTGCCCTGGCTAGAGTACAGTGGCGTCATCATACCTCACTACAGCCTCAAACTCCTGGGCTCAAGCGATCCTCCTGCCTCAGCCTCCTGAGTAGCTGGAACTACAGGTGCAGGCCACCATGGCTGGCTAATTTTTCTATTTTTTGTAGAGACAGGGTCTCACTCTTGCTCAGGCTGGTCTCGAACTCCTAAGCTCAAGCGATCCTCCCATCTCATGGTAATTTATTTAGTGTTTTAAAAGTTTCTTCCAGTATATTTCTTTAATAGTTCTCTCACTATATACTTTTATGTTTCTTTAATTGCCACCTATATCTGAATTTCTAAATCTTTTTATTTCTCATCCAGCTTTCTTTCCTAAAGTCTAGACTCTTGTATTCACCCTACACCAGATATCTCCATCTAGATATTGACCAGAAACTTAAAACTCTATATAATAAATTGATTTTTCAAAACCTCTTTCTCCTGTTTCTATGATTGTCATTGCCATCTACTCAGTTGCCAATGTTAAAAACCTAGAAATCATTCTTTTTAAAAATTTTTTAATTGACACATAATAATTATACATATTTATGGGGTACCTAGTAATGGTTTTGTTAGATACAGTGTATAATGATCACATCAGGGTAATTAGCATATCTGTCATCTCAAACATTTATGTCTTCTTTATGTTGGGAACATTCAACACGAAGAATATTCTATCCTAGCTGTTAGAAACTATATAACATATTATTGTTAACTGTAGTCATCCTACAGTGCTATAGAATACTGGAACTTATTCTTTCTATCTAGCTGTAATTTTGTATCTTTTAACAAATATAGGAGTCATTCTTTTTTTCTTTTTTTTTTTTTTTATAGGAGTCATTCTTTATTCTCTCTTCTGGCATATCCAATTGGCCACCAGATTTGTTATTTTTCCTCTGTCTCTTCTACCCCTTTATAGTTGTGCTCCCTGCTGTTCTATTTCAAGCTCTTGCCATTCCCTGCCTGGGCTGTTGCAGTGACCTTTAGAGAAATACTTTTATAATCAGAAAAAAGTTAATATATTTTCATTATATGAAATGTTGAAAACACAAAAATAACTAGATGAATACACATCACCCATAATTCTAAGATATAATCGCTATTAACATTTTAGTTTCTTTTTTCATGTATATATTTTTTTCACAATTGAGGTAATTTTGTGTGTGCATCCTTTTCTTTACTTTTTCTCATCATTTGCCTTTGTCCATATTTTCAGAGTTTTTTGTTGTATGTATTTATTTATTAAAAAAATTTTTTTTTTAAAGAAACGAGATCTTGCTATGTTGTCCAGGCTGTAGTACAGTTGATATTCACAGGCGTGATCATTGTGCACTACAGCGTCAAACTCCTGGCATCAAGTGGTTCTCCTGCCTCAGTCTCTGGAGTAGCTGGGACTATAAGTGTGCACCACCATGCCCAGCTAATTTTTAAAACATTTTTGGTAGAAGTGGGATCTTGCTATGTTGCCCAGGGTAGTCTCGAACTCCTGGCTCAAGCAATCTTCCTGCCTCAGCCTCCCAAAGTACTGGGATTACAGGTATGAGCCACCATGCCCGGTGGCTTCGGGATTTTCTTTTACATTCCCCAAGTCATTGTAATGTGTAGCAAAGTCTGGGAACCACTGCCATATCATACCCTTACAGAGAGGGACTAGAGTCTTCAAACAAAAATGTTTGGACTTTGTCATTATTCCTGTATTGAATTTTATTTCATTTCGTGTCTATTTTCTTCTTACTTAAGCTGTTGTTGTTGAAAACTGGAGCTTGAGTTCCTGAAAAGATACTGATGGGCTATTACTTCATAGAAAAAAAGAGTTCATTTTAAATGCAAATATCTTAAGACCTTTTTAGAACTTGGTGTAGGATAGAACAGGTGAAAGATAAGATGACACTCTGTAGAAGTTTCTCTCATTTATTACCATGGAATTGAATCCTTTCCTGGTTTCTGAAATTCTTAGGCAAAATCTCTGCTCTAGTCCTTGATTTTCTTTCTTGTTTCTCTTTTAAAAATAAATATGAAATAAGTAAATTGATAACACAAGTGTTATCTTTGTAGCTGACTATTTGACTTGATGAGCTGTTTTTCCTTCTTACTGAGTTCAGTCTATAAGGTCATCTTGGTCTGTATCTTTATAAATGGCAGAAGATGATCCAGTTCTCATTTGAATATTTGAATATGTTAGTGTTTTCAGATGAAGTGAGAATAAGGGCAGTGTTTTTAAAGTTCATTCTTTTATATTCAGGTTTGTCATTTGAAATTTTAAAAGGTTAAGGAATTAGTAACTGCTCTTTTCAAGATTTAAGCTCATTTGAATAGTAATGCTTAAAATGGTTAATTTCACTAGTTACTGAAGACTAATAACTAAAAATATCTTTTAGTGTAACTCTTTAGTCTGGGGAAACCATATTTTGGGAACAATATACATTTATGTTGTTATAATTGTTAAGGTGTTGGCTATACTCCAAAGGTGATACTTTTAATTTTGTTGAATATCTAATTTTGAAAGCAGATTTAATCTCACACTCTCTTTTTGCCATTATATTCTTCTTTCCCTCCCAGTGGCAGCATGGAACCTGCGTTTCATAGAGGAGATCTTCTCTTCCTAACAAATCGGGTTGAAGACCCCATACGAGTGGGGGAAATTGTTGTTTTTAGGATAGAAGGAAGAGAGATTCCTATAGTTCACCGAGTCTTGAAGATTCATGAAAAGTATGTGTAAACTGTATCTTCTCTGTTTTTAAATGTTTTTGTTGAAGTGTTTTCAGTATTTAGTTTTAATAGCCTAAAGATTGTGAAAGAGCGAGGAACCCTCTAGGCCCTTCTTCCAGTCCATTTTTATGACTGTCTGAAGGTTTGGAGAACTGTAAATAGTTATTTATTAATTCATTTATTTCCTTCAAAGTTTTTTCCAGAGGTTTTTCTTAGTTCTCTTCTACTTCCCAACCAATCAGTAATCCTGTATATAACTCCAAAAAAACATGACCTAAGGATCGATTTTAAAGTAGAATCTTCTGATCTAAGCGTCTTGTGTTTTAGAATTGGAAAGGACGTAGACAAAACCTTAGAGTCACCTCGGGGTGGAGGTGGGCCGTGGACATAAGCAGAGAATTTCACCTCTCTGGGTCTCAGTTTCCTTATCTGTAACAGAGAGAGGTTTAGGAAGAATCTCTGAGAATTAACAGATCTCTTTGAGTTTTAAGCCTGTGGTCCCCATCCAACTACATATTTCTCATTCCTCCCTTCCAAATCTGTGGTATTTCTAGTTAAGGAAAACTTTCAGAAGGAAAGGAAAAAAAGAATTGAAAGAATAAGGAGGCATCCTGCAGGACACACAGAGGGGAAGTGAAACAGTGGGGGTGCTTTAGGTTCTTGAATATTTGGCAGCCTTCAATAAATAGTTTTTACTACCCTATGCCCTATAAAGTAATATATTTCCTC